AAATCTGATTTATATTAGAGTAATCATGCACAGGAACACATTTTGATTGTATTCTTAAATATTTTTTGAAGGGAAGGGGTACAGTAGTGCCTAGAAACCCTAGGGAAGATTTTCAACCATAGCCTCTGAAGAATCCACAAATAAGGGTTAATAAATTATGAATCTATTACTTCTTTATTTAAGTTAATTAGCTCTTATTTTAAGGGACTGAACACAAAGATAAAGGGCAATAATATTCATCTGCAGCTACAACAGGACTTACATCTTCAGAGGTGATATCATAAGTTAGGAAAGATATAATGCTATAAAACTAACATTGCATAGACAAGGATGTGTTGCTTTTTACAGTCATCTTGGGATTATTATCCAAGAGTGAAACAAGACATGCATTGCTACCACCATTTTATGTTCCAGTTTGCATTAATGTTTAGAGCTGCTATATTTCAGGGTTTAGCTATACTGAATCCCATTTTCTTAAACTAAAGTAGTGATACTAAAATGCTTCACATTAAGACTTTGTTTGTACAATTGACAGTGATATATTCTACACATTAAAAAATGGATCCTTCAAAATTAGCAGCTGGTATTTAGTGTTCCTAAATGCATATTCTTTATATGTAGGGGAAAATGGAGAGCGGTCATTGAATTCTACTCAAATGACATCAACATCTAGTAGAGAAATCTATGAGATTTTTCCCCAATACTGGGCACGTGCTTTGTGTTTTGAGTGTTTCCAATTTGGTCAGAAATACAAAGAACTTTGATTTGTTCATTTAAAGTTTTAACTAGTAAAATTCCAAATATTTTTTGATATGTCCTATTCAAGAAACACTACTTCATGGCCTCACACACACTTACCTCATAATCTTCTTCTGAACTCGAATTGTGTTCATCCACAAATACAAGTTTTGGAGAGGGTCCTGCAATATTTGGCCTTTGGTAATCCACATACTGTTCTTTGGGGTTACTCTGTCCAGTGCTAACTGAACTAGCACAAGCATTGTTTTCATCTACTGAAGTTTTCTGTCTGTCTGAACGTAGCTGACGTCGCTGATCTTCTTCATGCCTTGAAACTGCACAGATACTTCTTGAGTTGCCATCTGATTTGCAAGGTTCTTTACTATGACAGGGCCTTTGATCTTGATCTCCACTTGATGTAGATGCCTCCTTTCTGACCTTTTTCCCTAATGATTTCCCAAAAGCATCCTGGAGAGCTCTAAGGTATATTACTGTGGATCCCTGATCCTTCATTCTCTTCTTCCTATGATCCACAGTCTGTTCTTCTGAGACACCTTTACCTTCAGTCCTTAGTGTGAGGTTACAGCCTGCACCATCCTTGGATTTATAAGACCATATAAAAAAGGAAACAGCATCATGTAGGTGTGCATAAGTAGTAAACATTTTACTAATCAGAAAGCATGTATGCTTTGTTGTGGGTGGGGAGAGTAGAAGGGTAAGAATTCCTCTCAAGCAGAGAGGACAGAGATGGGCAGCCTAAAAAATTTTACAGCACTACCCACAAAGACTTAAAGTCTCAGCATGTGCTGGAGGTATGGCCACATCTCTTATGTTACGAATGTGCTAACTTTTCCTTAACACTTACAAAAAGAGTGGCCAGAATCTGCTTTTTTCTGCAAAGTAAATGCCACCCTTGGGCTTCTGGAAAGCTGCCAAGACAGCCACAATTTGAGAAAATATGGAAACCTTGTAGTAGGGGATCATTTCTCACCACTGGGAGCTGCTATATTCTCTGCATTGTTGCAGAGGACTACACTCTTATCCCTTGTAAGAAAACAACCGTGTCTCCAGCGCCTCCTGTCCTTACAGTAGCGCCACAGAAGGTGTCTTTAGACTAGTCAGAACAAGACAGGCCATATTAGGATACTGTTTGGAACAGCTTGGTCCCATTCCAAGCAGGAACTATGCTCTCCCCACTCAAAACCAGCCACAGGAGTCTTTGCCTATTAAAAGAATAAACTTTTCAAATAATATTAAAAGAGAATCAGGCATGCTGCAACCTAAATTATATTTTGATTTGCACAGCTAGACCAACTCTTTGGCCTAGACTTTGCTAATATAAAAACAAACCCAGTATGTTAAGCTTCAGAAGCCAGTCTCTGTAAAAATGGAACAAAGCATATTAACGAAAATAAATGATATAATTTTGCTTCTTGAGGGCAAATGAAGGTCTAAAAGATTTTAACAAAGGAGTTTACTGCTTTAGAAAGAGACACAATCTGAATTATTTTTCCTGAAATTCTCTACAGAGAACTAAATAATTAATTCAGTTATAATACTAAAAAGATATAAAGTAACTTAAACCCGATAGAGAACCAAAATGATTTTTATTTAGGCCATTTAAAACTCTAGGATTTTGTTTGGCTTTGTTAAGCCTTTGCATTCAATATAGGAGTTAAGAAACAGCTGGAAAAGAGCTGTTAAAGATTTGACATCCTAACCCTACAGCTAAAGGTTGAGAAAGCTCCTAATGTACTTCTCCGGAGCTTCCACTTTTGCTGTAAGAGACAGGAAGACAAGATTTGAAAGGACTTCCAGGGGAAGGTATTGAAAAGTTTACACAGTTCTAAATTAACTAATAGAAAACAAGTGAAAGTTGTACAAAATGAATGAATAATGAAAGGTAACAAGAAAATAAATTAGGCACTCTGATTAATCCATTTTACAATACAAAGGAACAAGGACAGTGAAAGTGAGTTTACCTTACAAATAAAACTTTATGCCTTGTGTACATGAACTTTTAAACAATGTAACTCACTGCCACAAGATATCACTGAGGCCAAGAATTTAGTAGGAGCACGATTAAACATCAATATGGGTAATCAAAACATGTAGGTTTCAGAGTAACAGCCGTGTTAGTCTGTATTCGCAAAAAGAAAAGGAGTACTTGTGGCACCTTAGAGACTAATCAATTTATTTGAGCATAAGCTTTCGTGAGCTGCATCCGATGCAGTGAGCTGTAGCTCACAGAAGCTTATGCTCAAATAAATTGGTTAGTCTCTAAGGTGCCACAAGTCCTCCTTTTCTTTTTGCAAAAGATGTAGCTACATTAAAGAAAAAAAACACACATGGCTAGAAAATCTTCATGCTTCAAGGCACAAATAACCACTAACTAGGGTTAAACTAGAAACTTCACTGATGGACAAGATACGACAGTATTAAGGGTTTCTTGCACCTTTCTTTGTGCATCTAGTACCAGCCACAGTTGGAGACAGGCTGCCAAATTAAATTAGCCACTTCTATGATTTTGTATGGCAATTACTATGCTCCTGATATTTCCAAGGTAAAACAGGATAAAAATCTTCCTCCCCCACCCTCCTATCTTGCCAAAACAAACCAACTTTTCGGACTTTTTTTTAATACATCAAGAAGAAACAGATAGCACAAACCTATTTTCTCCCTTTGCAGGTTACCTTAAAACCACACACACATTTTTACTAGGGCTTTGTACAAGAGGCCATAAAAGTTAAGCCAGTTTTCTAAAACTTGCCTGTGCAACAGGATGAACCTTTTTCACTGTTTACTGAGCTTTGTTTCAGAGCAAAATCAGAGAGGAGTCCTTGTAGCACCTTAGAGCTTAATTATTTGGGCATAAGCTTTCGTGGGTTAATTTTAACCCACGAAAGTTTATGCCCTAATAAATTTGTTAGTCTCTAACGTGTCACAAGGTCTCCTCGTTGTTTTTGCTGATACAGACTAACACGACGACCACTCTGAAACCGGCTTCAGAGCACTACATTAAAACGACACACACTTTTACTGGCAAACAATTATAGCAAAACACTATATAAAGACAAGTGAAGACTCTTGGCCTGTGATGCCACCCCCCCCCCCAAAGTAGGTGTGGTATTTTTAAAAAGTGGCCGGCAGGTCAAGTTAAAACACTGCCGCTGCACTGTTATCTTCTTCAACTCTTCCTGAAATGTAGCCCAAAAAAACTCATCTTCCTCTCAACCAGGAAGCTGTACCTGTGCATTTTTAAAGAAGTCTGCAATAGAAAAAGGCCCCCCTCGGGGAATTAGCTGCACAAAGGGAGCAAAACACATAACTTCCTTCACAGGGCACCAAAACATTAAAGGCTTTGTCAAACTCCTCCTTCTTCGGTCAGCTTTTGACTCTAGTTTGCAGCCTTTACTGTTGATCACATACCTCCCGGTTCAAAGACTCCCGGGGCAGGGAGACCAGATCTGCCTTGGACATTTCCCAGCCAAGAGGTTTCCTGAACAGGGTTCTCCTGGGAAGGGAGGAGCCCCTACCCCTCTCTTCCAGGCTGACGCTGCTCCCATCGGCTGCGGCATCTGGGGAGGAGCCTCGTGCAGAGGACGCGGCCCCGGACATCTCGCCGGCAGAGAGCCCTCGGCAAACGGCCTGCGGGGAAAGCCAAGTCCGCGCCCGTCCGCACGCCGCTGGCTTCCCTGCGCTCCGGGCCTCTCCCGCCTGCGCGGGGCAGCCGGCGGCGGAGCCGGGGCGGGAGGACGGACATGGCGGCCCTGCCGTGGCGCATTTGCGGTACTTGGCGGGGGAGCTGTCTGACCCGCTGTCCCATGCGCCCCTCGCCTTGCGGCGCCTGGCGGGCTCCATCGGGGCGCGGCACCTGCGCGGCGGGGAGCGCAGCCGTTAGCCAGGCTCCGCGAGGGCAGCCGAAGCGAAGGGGCGGGGGCGGGGCGAACCCGCAGCCCGGGCAACAAAGACCGAGCTTAGCGAGCGACCACCCCCACGAAGACCGCAGGGGTCCTCGGGCAGCCCCCGCAAGAGGCCACAGCGGCTGAGGGAGCCACGCCGGGGGCAGGCCGCTCGGGATCGGCGCCCGGCGGGGGGGTCCAGGCTGCGGGCCCTGGGTGGAGGGAGCCAGAGAAGGGGCCAGCAGGGGCGCCCCCCCTCTCCTCCCTGCGAGCCCCGCCCTGGCGTTCTCATCGCCTCGGCAGGGACAGGCTGCGAAAAGGGGGGCGGTCCGGGAGGGGCGGGTCTTACCGGCTGGCCCCGCCCCTCCGCTCGCGGCCGCTCAGGCTGGGTCGGCGCGGGAGAGCCGGTGGCGGGCACTGGGCCCTCGCGGGGCGCTGTCGCGTGACCTGCGCCGCAGCAGGGACGGGAGCCTGCGGCGGGCTGCGTGCGCGTGCGGCAGGTTGAAGCCCGCTGCTCTTTCCCCCGGGGCCTGCCCTGCTCTGCGCGATCGAGGGGTGTGCCTCAAAAAAAGGGGTGGGGGGCCGTCCCCTGCCCGGCACTGGACCCCTCCTACTAGCAGTCACGAAGAGCGAGCGTGGCTCAGAACGTTCCCAGGGAGAGGGGGGGTTTTGCAGGAGCCTCTGGGGGCTTTGTGCAATTTCCTGTTGAATTATAAATAAACGTGTGGCTTTTAAACAATGTTCAGTGGGAATGGAGCTCCTAGGTTATGTATGCTGAGGCTCAGGGACAAAAGCTATGGGAAAAGCACTGCACAGCTGGGGCAGAGGCCGCCTTTCGGAATTGCTCCCTGGCTTGGCTGTCTCCCGCTTCGTGCTTTGGAGCAACACGTTATCCTGGATACGTACAGGTGGGAGGATACTTACAGGCTTGAGCCCTATGGTGTGACTTTGTGGAATTATATAAAGTTTCTGGGGTCAGGTTTTGGAGATGTGGTTTTGTGAGTGCTGCAGTGATAAACTAATTCTTGGTGATTTAATACCTTATTACAAAATAATACAGGCAAAGCAAAATATACTGTGTCACTAAGATCTTCTCAGAAGCTGCACAAATGTTTTTATACTCACCCAACCATCCGCTTGTGTCAGAATGATGTACAGTATAGCATACACAATAAGTGATATTTTCAGCACAGGGGCTACAGCTTTTACAACCTTTGCAAATTCTTTATAATTTGTTTGCTCTGCCAGTCTATCATTCCATTACCTCTTCTTCTTGCTCCCACTATTATTTTTTTCTCCATTCTGTCCATTACACGCACTGTCACACCTTTTTTGGTTTTGAGCAAAATTTTTCATTGCCAGCTACATCTGACGAGGTTCTCCCACCAGCTGTGTGTAGGGGTGAATGGGTGGGGAGCAGTATATAAAAAACACTGAATTCCATAAAGTTTATCAAAGAATGGCAGAATTGAGAGGCAATGTATCATTTGCTGCCAATATTTTCCCCTTTAAAGATACTGTAGTTATTTTCTCTCCTTAAAAATGCACTATAAGGATAGATCTTGAAATCCTTAAGCAGGCAAAATTCCTTTTGACTTCAGTAGGAATTTCACATGTGTACTCTCTGCAGTACCATGTCCTAAATGTTTAGTTTGCTAATAGCCATCAATAGATTATTTTGTTTAATAATGGTTGACATATTTCAACTTCATTTCTGTGTTTTCTCACTTTAGGGTAAGGCCTTATAATGTGTTTCAGTTTCTTACTTTAGGGAATTTAATAGTTACTAAAATAAATGGTGTTTGTATAATATCTAATGCAAAGTGGAGCCAGGAAAGGATCAATTTGATTCTCAGTAAATGTCAGCTTGTAGAATATCCACCCCTTTCACCACTGCCCAGTAAAAAAAATATAGTTAATTTTATTAGATGCAAGTTTTGTAATACTAAAGTTTCATTTTAAGATACAAAATGTTTGTATACAGAGAGCAGATAAAATAGTCAATGAGACCAGAAAAATGTTAGAACAACCATTAATATCTTTGGAAAGCTGGCCAGTAATACTTTCTTCATAGATTACATATTTAAATGCCCTCCTAGCTTAACCACGGGAAATGCTACTTCAACTGGACATCTACATTTACTTTCAGCTTTATATTATACTGACAAGAGACTGAAATTAGCCTAATATGTCCATGAATTTTTAACTTCATCACCAGTCATTAGCACAGAACAGTTTTTTTCAACCAGGGGTATGCGGCCCCTGGGGTATGCAGAGGTCGTTGAGGGGGTCCATCAATACATCTCTAGGCCTTTTCTAGTTTTACAACAGGCTACATAAAAAGCACTAGTGAAGTCACTACAAATGTAAAATTTCATACAGACAAAATGAGAAAGTAAACAATTTTTCAGTAATAGTGTGCTGTGATACTTCCTATTTTTATGTCTGATTTTGTAAGCAAGTAGTTTTTAAGTGGGGTGAAACTTGGAGGTATGCAAGACCCCTGAAAGGGGTATAGTAGTCTGGAAAGGTTGAGAACCACTGGCATAGAATGGTTTACCAGCAGGACAGTGGGGTGGGAGGAGGTACTGTTTCATATTCTCTGTGTATATATAAAGTCTGCTGCAGTTTCCACGGTATGCATCCGATGAAGTGAGCTGTAGCTCACGAAAGCTCATGCTCAAATAAATTGGTTAGTTTCTAAGGTGCCACAAGTACTCCTTTTCTTTCTACTGGCATAGAATGATGCTCAGGCTCTAGTGTTCCATTTCGTTGCACCCTTGCAATGTCCTTAGCTATATGACATTAATTCAGAAATCATCACTGTTATTTTCGATTTGTATTGTGTGACCTGCCTGTGACATTCAGCATGAAGGAGCAATTGTGTCAAAATTTAGTACATTTCGTAGTCTCTTTCCCTTCAATTTGGGCTACAACTCCATATGCATACAAGACACTGAGGGACACAAAGCTAAGCTGTGAGAAGTAAATATAATTGATAACTAAATAAAGTAATTATGTCCTAAGACTGAGCCAAGATTGATATAGAGTGAAATCTGTCTTAAGTGACTGCTCAAAGGACCAAAAAAAAAAAAATCAACTGCTTAACAGAGGGGGGCCTTCTAAAGAGGATGGAGTAAGTATTGTTTGCATAGCACCTAGCAAAATGAAATCCTGATCTATGACTGGGGTCCCTAGCTGTTACCACAAAACAAATAATAATTGCACTCTGTACAGGTAGGGATACTTTGAGCTGCTCTCTGAAGACAGGAAGTTGCCAAAAAAGGTGGTTTGGAACAATTTTTGCTGTCCTATACATCTTGTAAAGGCAGGTCTTACAGAAAGGGCTTTCCCCCCCAAGTTGATTCAAAATATATAGATTTTAATAAAATTCTGGTGTACATTACACTAAGCAAGTTACATAGAGGCAAACACTGTATACCCCAAGGTATAAAATAATAGGTCATCCAGGTTATATTACTTCAGAACAGTTAGTGAATATCTTAAAACAAACACTCAATTATTTATAAAAAATGTCCACATAATTTATTTTTTCTTTGTATTTTTAAACCAGTAATAAATTTAATACCTGAAAACATCTAGAAAATATATTTATGGATATTAGTAATTTGATTAGGCACTTATAGTCAGGAACTTACTATTCAGTTAACTTACTAGTCAGTTACTAGTGTAGGTATCCACCTGAGGACCTGGTATAAGATTGTCACATTGAAGGGATAAGTTAAATTATACTTATTTGCTTCTGGTAGTGCCCACACTGTGCTAGGCACTGTACAAATAGAAGGCGTGGTCCTTGCCCCAAAAAACTTAAGACCTGATACTGCACTGGGTAAGGGGTCTAAATTAGCTGTTACCACTCAAGAAAGATCTTGGAATCACTGTGGATAGTTCTCTGAAAACATCCACACAATGTGCAGCAGCAGTCAAAAAAGCAAACAGAATGTTGGGAATCATTAAGAAAGGGACAGATAAGACGGAATATATTGCCTCTACATAAATCCATGGTACATCTTGAATACTGTTTGCAAATGTGGTTGCTCCATCTCAGAAAAGATATACTGAAAAAAGTTCAGAAAAGGGCAACAAAAATGATTAGGGGTATGGAATGGCTTCCATATGAGGAGAGATTAATAAGACAGGGACGTTTCAGCTTGGAAAAGAGATGACTAAGGAGGTAGGACTAAAGATTGAAGTGTATAAAATCATGACTGGCATGGAGAAAGTAAATAAGGAAGTATTATTTACTCCTCCTAACACAAGAACTAAGGGTCACCAAATGAAATTAATAGGCAGCAAGTTGAAAACAAAAGGAAGTATTTTTTCACACAACGCAGTCAGTCTATGGAACTTGGCCAGAGGATGTTGTGAAGGCCAAGACTATAACATGGTTAAAAAAAAAAGAACTAGATAAGTTCATAGAGGATAGGTCAGAATGGGCAGGGATGGTGGCCCTAGCCTCTGTTTGCCAGAAGCTGAGAATGAGCAACAGTGGATTGATCACTTGATGTTCATTCCCTGTGGGGCACCTGGTATTGGCCATTGTTGGAAGACAGGATACTGGGCTAGATGGACCTTTGGTCTCACCCAGTATGGCCACTCTGACGTTCTTAATGTGTGGATGGACTGCTGTGCCTGAACGGACACCCACTGAAATCAGCTACCAATGCAAGAATGAGGCCTTGCACAAGAAAAAGACGAAAGAAAACATACACAACACCCTAGGCAGATGAAAGGTAGTGTAGTGGGGCAGATCATGAAAGTTGACAGTTGACCTTGCCCCACTTTGGTAAGGCAGTATTTGGACAAAGGCAATATTTGGGTATTTTAGATATATAGTCTACCACAGTTCCTCCTACCATTGTCAGTTGGCGAGTTACGTGTAGAAGTCTTCATAGAACTAGGTCCTCAGAAGGGACTTGAATGTGAAGGCCTTACTGTACATCTAGGAAAATTTTACCTTTCCATAATCACATACAAGGCCCAATCCTGCATTCCTTGCTTGCTCAAATTGTAATGGGAATGTTCCCCAAGTACATATTAGAGGTTACCCACAGCAGAAAGCTGAGCTATATGGTTCCGAAGGTCCTTTTTTCCTATTATAAAGTTGTATTTCCTTATGCTGGATTAGAGGATTCTGTTACAAGGTAAAAGAAAAAAGGAATAAGAATGGCACTGATGTTCTTGAGGAGGTTTCCTCTTGAAAATAAATAGGAGTAGCATCCATGCGTTCTAGTATAATATTTAGCATTTTTCCTCTTCAAAGTGATCACAAACATTGCGCCTAATTCTGCAGCTCTTGATCAAGTGAGTAGGCACACTGAAATCAGCTACTTCACTAGGACTACTCAAGTAAGTAAAGGCTTCAAGATCCAGCCCTTTAACTAACTAATCTTTAGTTGATTGTTTTAATCATTGCGTCAGGCCCTTTACAAATCCAAACTCAAGTGTTGCATAAAAAATTAAATAGGTTTTAAATTAAAATATTGAATTATATCAAAATCCAAAATATACATTTACAACCAAAGCTACAGTATGAAACAAGTAATCACATTAATAGCACTTAACTAACGTTTGTAAAATACTATAAAACTCTCAAAACAGCCTAGTGAGGTATTAATTTTCTAATCTGCAAAATAGGGTTAAGGCACAGAGAGATTAAATGACTTTCTCAAGGCTACAAAGGCAGTCAGTGTACACAATCTCAGTGTAGCTTTTTGATACTACATGTTCATATGTACAGTTCCAGAGCATACCATCAGTGACATCTAAAATTGTCCAAACATCTGTTTTCAATGCAACTGGAAATGGAATCATATGGAATTCAGAGAACTTTCCTTAAAAAACAAAACACCCACCACATCATCTAGGATATGGAGTGCAATCAAGAACGTGGAATAAGATTATATGAAACTAGGTACATTTTTAGTTACTTGGTTTTGAAAAAATGAAAAGTTCATTGATCACCCTGTGTATGCTAGATGCAATGGATATTACAGTGTACTACCAACTAGTATGTAATGAATGCCTGCTGTATAGTGTGCAGGATCCTAATTTTTCATAAAAGAAATATATTGTACACAAATGCTTTGTGAAGTGCAGTGCAAAACAGAACTTGCCCTAAGCTAATTCAAGCAATTGTCTCAGTTTGCCAATGTTAATTTTTTTCAGCATAGTAAGGCAAGGAGAAAGAGGTCAATGCTAATTTTTCTGATCATAAAAGTTGCATTCTGCTTTAATCTACACTGTAGCAGACGTTCTCTTGGAATCACCTGAGATGTGGCTATTCTTTTTCTCCAAAGAGAGTTAACATGTCTGTTGAAAACATCCTACTTAACCGTACATGAAGTGTGTGGTTTAGCTTTTACCATCTTGCTACCGGAAAAAGATTCCCAATTTCTTCTTCCAAGATGGCATTCCTGATAATTCAGTCATATTTGAGACTCAAAGAGTTCAGAGCTGTTTAGCTTTTCTTCTTCATATAGTAAAATATTTTCCATAAGCTTCTTTTTTTTATCATTGATCTTTATTTCCCAGGAGGTTTCTTTGGCTAATCCTGCGGGGGGAAAAAAGGCCCAAATATTTAGCAAAAATCCATCTGTGGCTAACGCACTGATATTACATATAATTTGGGAGAGGGGAAACCATTCTAAATTGCTTAAATTTGACTTCTAAACAAGAAATTAAATTGAAAAACTAGATTTTAATTGCCTCTATAAATTAACTGGTAACATAATAACCAAGGAGACAAAATATGCTGAAATGTATAAAAGGAAGTTTTTTCAAAGACTGCAGGAGTGATCTATCAGTCTCTTTAGGCAGTTATATTTTGCCTATCACCATAGTAGCTGAGCACCTTATATAAATATTGTGGTCATGGTAACACAATTGGAGACATTGTGTCATGATAATTTAATGGTTACATATTGAATGATCTGAACTCAGCCTTTCACTCCCAAAAAATACTTAGATTTACCTTGTGAAGAACATGAAGGGTCAAGGATTGCATTGGTTGAAGAAACCATTCTTTTTGCAGGAAATACCATTTCCAACGTGTTTTTATTTTCATTGGATGCCACATTTCTTTCTTGGAAGCCACCAGTACATATTTCATCATTTCTCCCGGAATATGAGGATGTGGCATTTTCTGGATCAGTACAACCACGGCTAGGTGGGCCATATGCAGAACCCTCCACAGGATCCCAAACAAAACTACTTGATTCATCCGATTCACAAGGGACCTGTGACATCTGTCCATTGTACATTTCAGGTGGCATGACTCTTAGTAAAGATGGGGATGAATTTGCACACTTCAGGGACCTTGCTGTTGCACTGTCCTCATTGCTATCACCTGAAGAACCATAATTGTAACTAGCTGTCTCATCATCTGTTTCTTCTGGGGTATTAATGGAGAATCCAGAAAAAGTGCTGCCTTCAAGAATGCTGTGATCTCTTATTTTATGTTCAGCCATTTCCATCATTTCATGCACCTGTTCAGAGCAACAACATCTGGTAAGCAGTTAATCAGTGCCCACATCCTTCTCCTTGGTGGACATTAAAAAAATAATGAAATCACATTTGGTTGCTTTGGCTTAGACCTTGGTATGTAAGACTAGTAGGGCATACAATGCTTACCTCTGCTATGTCAAGATTCTTTTTCCGCAGACAAAGGCAGATAGCAGTGGCAAAGTGAACAGCAATTTCTGATGGCAAGTGTCCCACCTTCCTGTCTAGATATTTGCAGCATATTTCCTTGGCAGCAAGATTTTCAAAGGTTTTGTGCTTGGAGCATGAACTTTCTCTTGCTGCTTGAATTTCATCGGCAATTGCATCTTTCTGTTCAAGAGGAAGAGATGCACTGGTTAAGAGGAAAATGATTTGTCAAAGAAAATTATTCATTCCTATCCAACCCTTTAAGAACTTAAGACACGCCCCGAGTACTTGCTATACCCTGTGTAATGTGCTGGCTAGTGTACGCATACTAGTGCCTCCTAGTGACTGACTTACAAAAGATAAAAGCCCAAGGAAATTCTCCTTTAGCTCAAATGGTAGAAATCTGTGTTTTAACAGCAGAGTCTGATACTCTGTGCTTCATAAGGTCTGTAGGCATGCACGCAATGCTTCATTACACCAGGCTCCAGCAGTTCCAGGCAGGCCTCTCAATATTATCAGGCCAGTGATAAAAAAAAAAAAAAGGCTGCTGTACATTGCATTGATAAGTGTGTTAATTACCTTTTCTAAACATCTATCAACAAAATCAGAAACCTCTTGTCTCTGCTAATGAACTTATCACTGAGACTTGTCATCTTCACTTTTGGTATCCATTAGAAAGTTGCTGAAGCATTTAGCAAGGAATGAATGACAAGGTGAGGGTTCACTTCCTTCCCCTCTTACTCAATGTTTCAGGGGCATGACAGCACAAAAGGAAAGTACCACTTGTGCAAGGGAATAAACAGGGTCTGGTTTTATTCACACAAAAAGGAGCATTCATTTTGTCACAATTAGGTGAACTGACCCAAATTTATTTTGAGTTTTTAAAGTAATTTCCACAGCTCCAAGTACACATTCAGTGATGTGTCTGTGTACAAAATACTGATGAGTACACCTAGCCATAAATACAGCACATTAGTCCATTATGATTCACCTTCTACTTACGTTTCACTATTCAATGCAGACCTTCCTGATTCAAGAACATGAATAGTTACAATTTCAAAACAGAGCTGCTCTCTCTAAACATATGGGTATCTAAACGCTAGTGACGTTGCAGCAGCTCATACACAATCAGGAGCAATATTAAAACTGGAGCATTCATTCTGCTCTCATTGACGTGAGCTAGAGTTTTGCCACTGGACTTCAACAGAACCAAGGTTTGGCTTCTACGCAGCAGCTCTTTAGGAGTTATAAATTTGCCAGTATTACTCCTGTGGGAATTCTGCGCTAAAAAAATTAAAAATTCTCCCCAGAGTATTTTAAAATTCTGCATATTTTGTCAAAACAACACAATATAACCACTCTGGTCTCAATTATTTTGGTAATTTATTTCAAAATACCTGTCTACACATATGTCAACAATACACACAACAACAAAAAAGATTCCCCTGGAGTACAGAGTTAAAGAAACCCCTCTGACAACCCAGTTCCAGTTGTGGGGTGCTGGAGGGGGCTGTATGGGGCCCCAGAGCCCAGACACCAGAGCCCAGCCATGGGGCTACCCCAGAGCCCAGACACCTGCACTCCTCTCCGCCCACAGCCCAGCCATGGGGCACCCCCCAGCCCAGACACCAATACTTCCCTCCTCCCAGAGCCCAGCCACCAGCACTCCCCTTCTCCCAGACCCTAACTTTAGGGCACCCCGAGAGCCCAGACAACTGCACCCCATCCCCAAAGAGCCCAGCTGTGGGGCAGCCCCCAGCCCAGGTACCTGGACTCCCTGAGCCTTTGCACCCCTCCCCCTCCAGCTTCTTTACTGTCCTGCCAGGGGACATGGTGTGGTGCAGCCCTCCCCTTCCTCACCCTTTCCCAGAGCTGGGTCTCCTGGGGTCTCTCCCATCCCCGGGAGAATGAGATCAAGCTGGGTACCCAAAGCATGCAGGGCCTCCATTCCTGCCAGGCTGGGTGCTTTGCTCACTGTGAGCTGGGCTCTGCAGAGTCCATTGGCCCCTAGTGGTGGCCAGAAGCTCTGAAGCCCCAATTCTGTGGGAGAAGCATGGAATTCTGCACAAATTCTGCACTGTGCAGTGATGCAGAATTCCCCCAGGAGTACAGTATGCAACAAACTCTGTATTTAGTTTTGCACTCAAACTAATTTCATTACAGTAGCACTGTTTGCAAGGGTTACACCAGGCAGGTGTCATTTATTTTGCTTTTCTCTTACCAGATAAATAGGGGTTCTTCCTTCATCCATTGCCTTAGTGCCTGTCAGCATCTCTGCTAAAACCTAGAGAACATTTTTATAGGTAAGACAATTTATTTAGATGGCTTCTTCTAAAAAACTGGACATTGTAACTAAAGGAATATTTACCTGTTAGCTTAAAATGCTCTATTTTTCCTACATTCTTAGAGAACATGGGCACAAACCAGCACTCCAGATCTGAACAACCTTTGAGAGAGAGTTTGGAACCTGGTTCAGATCCAAATCCATATTTTGTGGCCTGGGCCTCTCTTTATATATTACACTGTAGGGGCAGTAGATGGTCATTCTGTTCTATAGTGTTCACTGAACAGATGTAACAATACTCTATACAGAAATGAAAATTTAAAGTACAACTAGAATTTTTAAAAAATGATATTGTAGGCCATCATATTTATTCTCTCTCAGTGGCTTCTATACCACGTTTGCTTAGTTTTCAAACCGAAAGATGATTTTTCCAAAGTCCAATAGTGCAAATTGAACAAGGGAACTGAGATCCAAGCTATGGTCTTTCTGCTTCTTCCACTAAAACCAATAATAAAGATTTTGCAGCTAGAATGTAGTGATAATTTTGCAGTTTTTGCACAAAGCAGAGTATAATCCAGCTCACTCTAACCCACACTGTGTATTGGATTTGGAGGATGAACAGGGTTAAAAACATGTTTGCAACATTCAGTGAAGTCAGCACATGACTTGAACACAGACAAACCTGGCATCTTTACTGATGTGGTAACATGTTCACATATCCGTTTTTCTGACTATGAGCACCCGACAATACTATATGGTACTGAATTGATCATAACCACACTTTTGAGATTATAGGTCATAGTCTGACCTTGTGTGGATGGCTCTCTAACAAGATAGAAGGCATTACCTAAACCTATATTCATCATGGATAAATTCAACACAATTTCCTCCTCTCCTTTCATGTGTTGATATGAAGGAGTATCAATTGGTTTCTTGGGAGACAAAGGAGGAAGAATACCTTTGGGAAGATCAGGGATCCAGACCCAGGATCACAGGACTTGGATACACCACAAGCTGGGAAGTTTTTTCTGATGATGTTAACTTCCTTTTGTTCCTATTTATAAACACTAAACTCTGCAGAAAAGATCTTGTAGACTGCAACTATTTTTCTCTACTAACCATTCCATCGAATTATGTGTTCTAAATGAGAGTCGCATGTATGCGTTTCAGGGAAGAATTTGGCTCTCTTTCATTGGTTATTATTGAATGGATATTAAATCTCCAGCTGATCTGAGTGTCTTATGTTTGAAAAACTTGATCAGATATATGAGAAAAAAAACCCTATGTGCACAGAATATAACCAGATATCTGCAAACTGTAATAGCAAAGGTTAATATTTAAAAAAAAAAAAAAAGACAACTTACTATTCCACAACCAAAGATGTCAATTTTTTGTGTTAGCTGTCCATGCCTGACAAAATCTTCTGGCAGGTAAGTGAGGGAAGCTTGTAAAACTTTGGTTTTCATCACAGCATAGTCTGATTTTTTTTCCACAGAATACAGTCGGAGACCGGAATGTCCAAGTTTTGGTGTGAAGTTTTCATCCAGCAAAACATTGGAGCTGCATAAAGTAAGACAAATACCAATAGTGATCAATCCATTCACACCGGAATGTAGAGTCTTATGGTAAGATGTGATTTTAGAAAGTACATTTAAGGGCTTCTTTATGCAAATTCTCTTTTAGAGATTCCAGTCTTGTATGTTGAAAAGGGATAGTGAACGGAGATATAAATCATAAACCAGAATGTTGGTTTTTTTAAACAAAAATAAAGTCAGACAGTAGCAGTGTTTTCCTCCCATTTAATCTAATTCTACATTGTTTTGTTGTATACATTTTATTGTTTGTTAGCAAATATATAGGGTCATCTTCATTCCTGGTCTAAATTCCTCGAAAACCATGGATCATCAGGGATTAATTTGGCCCATTTGATTTTGAGTTAAACAGTTTTATGGATTATAGGGAACTCCTCTGTTGAAGAGACCTGAAATTGTTTGTTTTTTCCCCCCATTCTCTGGAAAGATCACAGTGTGTCAGGCAAATCCTGAGTTCTTTTCTCCGCATTTACTCAGTCCAAATTCTGTGACCACAATGGACTCCAAATGACCTCAAAATGAGTTTTGCCTCATCAGAGCTGAGTAAGGAACTCAGGACATGGCCCCATGATAAAACAAAGCAAAGAGACCAGATAAATTCTGTAATTTAAAACCTTTCTACCATCACAAAGAACAGGAGCACTCTGCTTTCCAGCTGCATGGGGATACAAAAAACATTGCCTGACAAAACTGGAAATACGTTTTTTCTGATGATTACCGAAAAAGCATATATTAGTCACAGGTTATACCATGAAAGGCCGCATGCTGTAGGGCACAAGCAAATGGACATTTTGCCCTAACAGATTAATAGATTCTAAGGCCAGAAGGGACCATTGTGATCGAGCCTGACCTACTTGATAACACAGGCTGATGGACTTCCCTGAATTAATTCCTGTTTGTACTAAAGAATATCTTTTAGAAAAACATCCAATCTTAATTCAAAGATTGCCTGTGATGAGGATCAACACAACCCTTGGTAAGAATTTCCAGTTAATTACCCTCACTGTTAAAAACATGCACTCTCTTTCCAGTCTGAAATGTGTCTAGCTTCAAGCCTTTGAATCTTATTATATATCTTTGTCTGCTAGATTGAAGAGCCCATTATCAAATTTCTGTCTCCTCAGCAGGTACTTATAAACTGATCAAGTCATCCCTTAGGTCTTTTTCACCTGGAAGTCTACGATTCCATTAACACCAGTGGGAGAAAAACACTGGAGAGTGGAGTTAAATAGATGGTTGAGCACAATGAAGAGTTTATGGTAGTCTGAGGAAAAATCAGCTGTCCTTGAACTTGCATTCCTAAACCCTGATCAAACTTGGAAACCCAAAGGTTAAAAAGAATTAACAGAATGTATATTTTAAGACAGAGCTGTAAACATTATTTTGTATAAGAGTAAGGCTGGGTCTATGCACAAATTTAATACTAATTTAAGTATGTCTGATAGGAGTAAGATTTTTTTTTTTTTTAAATCAAAATAACCAAATCAGTATAACCCTTGTGTGGTTACAGTTACAACAGTAAAAAAGTGCCTTATACTGATACAACTTATTCCCCTTCCCATATGGGAGTAGCTGTACCAGTATAAACACCTTTATAGTGATATAACTGCATGCACACCAGAGGGGTGGACCGTGGTACCACTTCAACTCTATAGATATAGTTGAGGTGGTACAACTTTCATGTACAGAACAACTCTAAGACATTTTCAGGGAACAAACAACTCTCCAATACTGGAATAGTATGGGGAATATTTGAAATTTTACCTATGGGGAAAAGTGGAAGGGAATGGCGGAAAACACTTCAGAAGAATATACTTTTGCCACACTAAAAAGAGAGGTAAAGGAAATGTGGAGGGGAGACATCAAAAAGAGCAAGAGAACAGGAAGCAGATGTGTATGGGGAACGATCATATGCAGACTTGAAGACTTTCAGCGATTTCTGTTTTTTGAAATTCTGGAAACAGTTGAATGACAGGGAGTTGCAGATATGTCGATAAGCTAGCAACCCTACCTCTTGACATTCCCATGCAGAATCCCAAAGTTATGGAGATACTGAATGGCTCGGATAAGTCCTATAGAAATTGTGATGCGTTTCTCCCAGGTTAATGGCATAGAACCAACCTGGAAGAAAAGTAGGAAGAGAGTTGGTGTGTTTTTCTTTTTATGGAAAGAAGCACAAAACAGTGTTAGTTTTACAAGCAAGAGACTTTCTCCTTCCCTCACGGCAAGCATTGGCGAAACACTCACTAACCTAACTGGAAGCAAGATGAGGTAAACGAATCTCATGCTTCAGGGTAGAAACCAATTATGCCGGGATCAGGAAGGAATCCTCCCACCCTCCACATACAGCACTGCACACTCGGCGTGTTGCATTACATGACGACAGTATGGATGAGGCAGAGATCACTTTCCTCTGGAACACAAGGTATTGCCCACTGCTGGAGGCAGGACAGTCATCTAATCTGGTTCAGTAAATCCTATGTTCCTATTTAAGGATTCACAAGTGTCCTTTCCATTGTCCTGTTAGTTCCCCTGCACAGAGCTCGAACAATGAATTTGAGCATCTCATAAGCTGTTCCCCCTAAAACAGTTGACTTCATACTATATTTCAACACACGACTCTGACAACCAAACACTGTAGTTGATTTTTCAGCAACATATTGCCAAATCTAATGCATATAGTGTTGTATAGCTGCATATTTTACAGTTTCCTTTTTCTGAAGACAGAAGCTGCATGGCAGAAACTCAGTACAGGTGACCTGCCTTGTAGCAGAAAACGGATTTATTTGTACGTAAAAAGACTTGCAGCCTTTCCAATACTTGTGATTGATGTATGTTCATGCTCCTTTTTTCTGTTGCTAATGATTCACATGGTGGGGGAGGAAAGGAAAGAAGAGAAGCTACCCTTCCTGTGGGAAAGGTAAAGAAGAGATTCTCTCCCCCCCCCCCCCCGAGTACTGGCAAGGATGTGTTGAATTCTCCTAGAAAACATGAATATAGATCTTGCCCAAATTGCAGGAATATTACATAAAACTCAAAGAACATAGTAAAATTTTTCAAAGAGATACAAATGCTTTTCATACAGTACTTCGATAGGACCCAAATCCTCTGCTTACTTGACACTGTAGTCTGTTTTCAAGCGATCCATTTTCCATGTAGGGGTATATAAGACAGTGATATCCACTTTCTAGTGAGAAACCCACTAGTTGTAAAATGTTAATGTGACAACACCTGAAGCCAAATATCAACAAATATTAGCAAGTAAAATGAGAACAAACAGAAACAATTTAAAATTCCAGTGCTGGACCAAACTGACAACATATAGACTAGACTGTGTACTGACTCCTGTCCCTGGGAGCACAACAGCACAGCAGAATCACAACTATTGCACATTGCTGAGTATGAGGAGTGCACAAGGCTCACACTGCAGCAGAGAGGAAGTGGGGCTATAGTGCCATCCACTTCCACACTAATTAGAGGGGGATGCTCAGCTGCAGAAAGGAGCTGCCCTGGACCTGCTTAAAGAATAGCACTGTGGCTCCACTCCCCCAGCAAGTAGGTGAACTTTGGAAGCAATGGAGACATGCTGCTTCCCAGAGCTCCTACTGGGTCAGTACAGATGAGAGTGACCAGATAGCTAGTGTGAAAAATCAGGATGTGGGGAGGGGGTGGTAATAGGCACCTATATAAGACAAAGCCCCAAATATCAGGACTGTCCCTATAAAATGGGGACATCTGGTCACCCTGGTATAGATCCACACCATCCTCAATACAGTGCGGTGCCTACAGGGCAAAATTTAGCCCTTAACACAAATCAGATTATTTCTTGTTATTTTGTAAAAGATCTATTAATCCCCAGACAGACGGACCAGAACCAATTTCCAAATAGCTACTTACCGAAAGCAAATCTGTACTTCTGTATGAAAGAATCTTTGTGTTGAATTCTGGCTTGTACATTCCATCTGTGAAAACCACCACAAAAATGCACTAAAATCAACTGTCTGTCATAAGCACTGACTTCATTTAAACTAGAACCAAAACATATTTTATATGTAGAATAGCAAATAAATAACTAAAGACTTTATCCTGCTAACAATTATACATGCAGGTAACTACTCACATTAGTAGTCCCATTGAAGTCAAAAGGACTACTTATGCGTGTAAAAGGTTTCACATGCATAAAGGTTTGTGGGATCTTGCTTTAAACTAGACATCATTTCCCCTCCTAAAAACACCATAATGCAGCATTTCTGATTACTAGTCTGTGGTGTATTAAATGATAACGGTTAATGTTTAGGAGATGTTAACAAATGATTCCCCTTCAAACTTAAATGAAGAAAAGGAGGAAGGGTAGGTACTTGCCTCTTTGAGCCTTTTAATGACGTATACTGCATTGTGTCTCTGACCTTTGTAGACCTCAGCAAAAATACCTTCGTTAATTCTGTTCTCCGCACTGAAACCATTGGTAGCATTTATCACTTCCCCCTGGGTCCACAAAAGGCTCCCACTAGGGAGATCAGCAATCATTTCCTGCCGAGGACTGGAAGAACCACAGGGCTAGAAATAACAAAAAAACAAGTTTATTTCCCTGGAACAATGGATTTCTCTCTCTGCTAAGGACTTTAAGGGCCTTTTCAACACAGCCAAGTGATAGGACCCAGTTACACACAGTTGCCCCCAACCTGATTACAACACAGTTCCAAGGCCAGTTAGTAGTGTGGATAGGCTCTGAGAAAACTAGTCCTGTATTTCTAACATAGGCAAAACTCTTGTGTCTTCTAGGACTCCAGGATGAGAGTCCTATATGGATATCCCCTGAAGTTAGAAAATTCACATCCAGGATTCCTCTCAGCCCTGTCTGTGATATGTTGACATCCCTACTGAGTTCATTTTCTACTCCACAATTTCTCTTCCATGACAACAAAATAAACACAGGTTGTGTGAAATTGTGACTGCTCTTCTACATGATCAGTCCCTAGGTTTTTCACAATTCAGTTTTGGTAGTTTTGCTGTTGTGAGAAATTTTGCACAATGGGGGAATTTGCATTGAACAAAGTTGAAAATGTGAATTTTGTTGTACGTACAGACTCTGCTTACAAAAAAGGCTTAGTTTGGATTGAAATGTCGCTCATTTTTGGGAGAAGTTTCACTCCTTTGCCTCAAAAATGGGTCCTCCTTCACTGAAAAATGTCCTATTTCCAAGTGAAACATTCTTAAACTTCTTGTGACTTTTTTGTGAAAGGGCAATTTTAGAGTTCACAAGAAAATGTAAATAAGCTCAATTGTGGAGTGATTTCAGTTACATTGCTAGAGTTTCACACAGCTATAAAATAAACATTTTAACCATCTACTCTGGCTTGTTCTCAATAAATAGCTCAGCAAGTTGGATTTTTTAAAATGATCTGATGTTTATTTAAAGAATTAATACCATCAGGAGTGACACTAAAGGTATGTCTACACTGCGATAAAAGATCTGTGGGACAGCTGTGGCTGGCCTGGGTCAGCTGATTCGGGCTCGTGGGGCTATAAAATTGCAGCATAGACACTGGGGCTCAGACTGGAACCTGGGCTCTGGGACCCTCACCACTCAGAGGATCTCCAAGCCAGAATGTTTACACTGCTTTTTATAGCTCCACAGCTCAAGCCCAGTCAGCTGCCAGCTGCAGGTCTTCTGTTGCAGTATAGACATACCCAAAAGTCAAGTTACAAGAACCATCAATCCTCATGCTTCAAGGCATAAATTGATCATCAGCTGGATCAAGAAAAAATATTCTCCATGTTACACATTAAATATTGTATTTAGGTGCTTGATAGGAGCTTTTCTCCTACTTCTGAAGCATGTAGCACTGACTGCAAAGTTATTTTTTTCCAGTCCAATATCAGTTCCTGTCTGGCAACTCCTGTGTTTTTTACTGAATGAACAGCTCCATTTGATATAAGTCACAATACATACAAAGGAAGAAATAGCTTAAATATTAGCGTGCAGCTCCCACATCCCGAGCTTGATAAATCTGTTCAATATACAAAGGTGCAAAACACTAACTTCCCAGCAGGGAGCTTTGGAACCATTGCATTTATTTACAGCCATCTCCTCCTCTGGCTGGAATGCTTGTATCATGTTATATTGGACATCGTCAGTGAGGTTTAGAGGTTTAAAATGTAACCTTCAAAATTTTTAGAATCTAGTAGGAAATATTGATTAAACTCTTTTTTTTTTTTTTTTTGAGTCCCCAAATCCACCACACTTAGGAACTTTTCTTAAACTTCTAAAAATAAATATCCCCCCCTTATTTCCATGTCTGGTGTGATCACAGCACAGTGCAATGTGAAAAGCACCCTTTACTGCTCTGCATCAGTAACCACATTGGGAATTCTCTCATAATCAGTTGCCATCCAGATTCGTTTCCCATACCTGACTTTGTAATATGCAATGGCATTAATGAGCATAGTTCTTCTCAGTGGTAAACCAACTGAAGTCAGCAGAGTCTGTACAAGTTCTTCAAACAAGAACTTGTGAAATTAGGTACCATGTTTTCAACAGATATACAGTAACTCCTCACTTAAAGTCGTCCCGGTTAACGTTGTTACATTGCTGATCAATTAGGGTACATGCTCGTTTAAAGTTGTGCAATGCTCCCTTAGAACGTCATTTGGCAGCTGCCTGCTTTGTCCGCTGCTTGCAGGAAGAGCAGCCTGTTGCAGCTAGCTGGTGGAGGCTTGGAACCAGGGTGGACCGGAAGCCCCTCCCATCAGCTCCCCATTCCTTTAAGTTCCCTGTGCAGCAGCCGCCCAGCAGGCTATCAATTGCTGGCAGTTCAGCTGTCCCTCCCCCCACTGCCATGTGCTGCTCCTGCCCTCCAGAGCCTCCTGCTTGCTGTGTGGGGGAAAGGGGGGAGGAAGAGGGAGGCTAATGTCAGGGTGTCCCCCTCCCCTCTACTCCTGCACCCCGCTTACCCCATCTTCTATAGAGCACGGGGGGCGGCGGGGGGGGGGCACAACATCACAGGGCTCAGCACAGCAGGAGCTTCCTGGCAACAGCTGCCATCTCAGTTTGCTGATTAACTTAAAAAGGCAGCGTACTTAAGAGTGGGGTCAGCATACTTAAAGGAGCAATGCGCATCTCTCTCTTACACACAGGGTGTGTGTCTCTGTCTGCCATGCTGTCTCCCCTTGCTCCATTCGTGCTGCCTTGTAGAGTGTGAAGCCACATTAACAACGAGTTAACCCTTGAGGGCTCAGCCAAATGCTAATTCATCATTTAGCAGTAAGGCATCCCCTGGGAAATATCCCACCCTCTGACGTCACCACCTCAATCAAGCTTCACAATCATCATCGCTGTGTACCATTATTAAATTGTTTGTTTAAAACTGAGAGTGTGTGTGTCGTCTGGTAAAAGAGATTTCCCTGGAACCTAACCCCCCCCCCCCCATTTACATTAATTCTTATGGGGAAACTGGATTCGCTTAAAGTTGCATTTTTCAGGAACATAACTACAAAGTTAAGTGAGGAGTTACTGTACAGTTTATGCAGGTAGAAGGATGCACACAAATTCCTTTTAATTAAAGGAACACAGAATGGCATGAAAGGCAATTTTCACTGTCATCAGAAAATTGAGGTTTAAACTAGGGGGTTTACCTTCACACTCGATGAATGAGGAGGATTTGATTGTAGGGAGTGCATAAGGTCCTCTGGGGGAGGTAGTGGATAGGGGAGTGAGTCTGAGATTCTTCCAGAAACTGGATCTGAAAATGACATTAACAGTGATGGGGAAATGCATTATTTTTGTGATACTATAAGTATGAATAGTTCAGTTTCTGTGATTGTTTTCTCAAGTCCCCTAAACCAGTTGACAGCCCATCAGGACTAGGCACATTGTGTGACGGTGCAGATTTGTTCTTCTGACTCACCCTAGCAGGGTGGGACTCTTTAGTTCCAGCTTAGGGATATAAAATGCTCAGTCTCTTGAAGACGAGAGAGAGAGAGAAAGAGAGAAACTGGAGGTCTTTCCAGGAAAACATCAGGAACAGACAGCTCAGGAGGAAGTTCAGGGCTTTGTTACGTAAGCAGTAATAAAGGCAAACCACAGGAAAGGGTGAGTTTGCGTCATCATACAGTGGATCTATGCTGGTTGGGAGTGCGAACTGTCCCTATCTACACATTAATTCCACCATTAAACAAATATATCTCATGTTATTTTACTTACTAGCTGCTGGTAAGTCTGGTGATGGTCCAATCTCATTTTCTTTGGCTTTATTTTTGTTTTCTGTGGGATAACAGGGTATACTCTCTTGTTTAGGTGACTCTAATGGTACTCTGGCAGGATTAGTAATATTAGAGACTGATACCCCTGCAAAACAAACAAGAAAAAAATTAAACTATGTAGATTACTAAAACAAAAAACCCCCATACAGCCACACCGAGAAAATGAGCTCTTAATCTGAGACAAAATGTCCTAAAAATGCCTTAGTACATTATAATTAAAAATGCTTAGTCAGAGTGTAACATATTAAATTAAATTAACTAAATAAAAACATAAGAACAGTCATAGTGGGTCACACCAGTGGTCCATCTAGCCCAGTATCCTGTCTTCCGACACTTGCCAATCCCAGGTGCTTTGGAAGGAATGAACAAAACAGGCAATCATTGAATGATCCATGGCCTCTCGTCCACTCACATCTTCTGGCCATCAGAGGCTATGAAAATCCAGACCATAGGGTTGCATCCCTGACCATCTTAGCTAATAGATGTTGATAGACCTATTCTTTGGGAAATTTATCAAATTCTTTTTTGAACCCTGTTGTAGTTTTGGCCTTCACAACATCCCCTGGCAATGAGTTCCACAAGTTGATTGTACACTGCGAGAAGAAGTATTTCCTTTTTTGTTTTTGTTTTTTAAACCTACTGCCTCCTAATTTAATTGGGTTACCCCTGGTTCTTGTTGTTATGTGAAGGAATAAATAACACTACCTTACTCACTTTCTCCATACCATTCCCTATTTTATAAACTTCTATCATATCCCCCCTTAGTCGTCTCTTTTCCAAACGGAAAGGTTCCAGTCTATTTAATCTCTCCTCCTACGGAAGCTGTTCCACATCCTTAATCATTTTTGTTGCCCTTCTTTGTACCTTTTTGAGTTCTAATTATCTTTTTTTGAGACGGAGTGACAAGAACTGCACACAGTATTCAAGGTATGGGCGTACCATGGATTTATATTGTGTCATTCTGATATTATCTGTCTGATTATCTATCCCTTTCCTAATGGTTCCTAACATTGTGAGCTTTTTTGACTACCGCTGTACATTGACTGGATCTTTTCAAAGAACTACTCATAATGACTTCAAGATCTCTTTCTTGAGTGGTAACAGTTAATTTAGATCCCATTATTTTGTATGTGTAGTTGGGATTGTTTTCCACTGTGCATTACTTTGCGTTTGTCCACAGGATTTAAACTCAATAAGTATTACTGAGGATGAATAGAAAGTGATTATTTGAAACAAATGTATTTCATAGTCATCACCATGCATAACTTGTTACTTAAAAAGATCAGTTAGCAATAATAATATATTGCTCTTATCATGTGGGACATAGCACTTTTCATCCAAAGATCTCTTTAGGTACATTAGTTAAACCTCATAGCACCTCTGAGGTAGTTGTGTTTGTTATAGCCATTTTATAGTAAATGGAGGCACAGAATTTCAGTGACATGCCCAAGATCACACTGCCAGTCAGTAGCAAAGGTAGTAACAAAACAAAGGAATCCAGGCACTAACTTTTGCATCTCTTAATATGTCCCTTGTAGAATAAGTCCTATAGAACATAATAGAAAATGATAACTTTTTTGTAGTCTTTTTTAATCATTGTATAGATTTTAATAGAGAATTATTCTCCAGTTTTAGAATTCCATAAGATAGTTAATAACCTAAAGAAAGAGTCTCATTCTTTATTAAATTTCATGATATCTGAGAGTAATTTCTATAGAATCCTGCTGCTTTCCTCCTATTAAATACTGTGGGACTTTTCTGGTAAGATTCAGGGGTAAATCATCATCTTGATGTACAGAGAGAGACTATGCCATGCCAATAATTATTATTATTTGGGGTGGATCACCCCCTCACAGGACAAAAATGTGAGTGCAAAGAAACCCACTCAGGGTTTTTATGAACAACATGTAAAACAATAGTAATGCTTTGCTCTTATATAGCTTGCTTCCCAACATGTTTTACAAAAGAGAATCAGTGTCATTTTCCCTACTTTACAACTGGAGAAAACAGAGGCAGAGAAAGGTGAAGTGGTGTGCCCAAGATCACACAGCAAGTCAGCGACGATGCCAGGAAGAGGGCCCTGGTCTTC